GTTTGAGTGAAGGATAGGTTTGAATCACATCAGATGATGTCAGCCTCAGGTCAGGGCTGGCTGGGCCAAAATCATTGTGGGAGAGGTCAAGCACCCAGCAGGAGCCACAGGGTGCCACTGATGACTCCAGTTAAGGGACCAAAAATCAGAAAGAACTGAGGAGGCTCAATGGAGGAGAGGAAGGGGAACACTCGGAGTCCCAGGAAGGCAGCTGGGTGAGAAACAAAGGACAAGTGAGTTGGGGGTTGTGTGGGCTGGAAACCAACCCATGAGGACATATGAGCTAACCCCCAGCACCACCACAGTGAGGTATAGGCAGAACAGTAACTCCACCCTAGAGGCCCCTCCGATTACTGGATGAGTGGGGCCTTCTTGCAGCTTGACGGGAATGTGTACCTCTCTGGCACTTTGTCCACTAACCTTCAAGAGATTCCTAAGCAGAGGTGGGTGGACGTCACTGTGTAATCCAACTCAAGCTGGTTTGAACAGAACTGACCTATGGTTGGAAGAGCTCAGGCTTGGATGAGTTTCCAATTTAGCAGAGGCCACGGACCCAAAGAGCATTCCAGGGCTCAGACTCACACCCGTGGCTGCCTTCCCTAGGGCTTCATCTTACCTAGCAACAGTGCCACGATATCACTGAAGTTCTGATCGATGTCCATTCAGAGGGTTCTTTCCAAAGAAACCCTGTCCCTCCATCACACCTACCTCTTCTCATGGACCTGAACTTGGTTAATCTCTGACTCCATCTTTGATTCGTCCCTGTAGCCAGGGAAGAGTCTTCATATATTAATTACTTTTCTTGTCACTGCGGACAAACTCCCCAACAACAGCTCCTCAAGGAAAGGTTTGGTGTAGGTTTTAAGTTTGAAAATCTAGTCCATCACGGCTGGGAAAGCATGGTAGGAAGAACATGAGGCGAGCAGTCACGTAGTGTCCAGTCAGGAAGCCAAAACAGAGGAGGGTTGGTGCTCAGCTTGCTATATCTCCTTTTTATTTATCCCAGGATCCCCAGCCCTTGAGATGATGCTGTCTATATTTAGGGTGGGAGAGGCTCAGGCTCCCACAGATTCAGTGAGTCTATAGCCCTAGCACAACCCCCCGCCCAGCAGCCCGGCTTCAGGTTCAGAGCCAGGGAAAGAAACACACCCTGAAAATGGGACCAGAGCTAGGGGAAAGGCACTTTGTCCCTGGACCCAGCACCAGAAAAAAGTTCCCAGACCCAAAAACCAGTACCAAAAGAATGCACTAAGTCCCTAGATTCAGAGCATCCTGAAGATATTCACCCTGGTCTCAAAATTAGAGCCACAAAGGTAAAATGAACCAAAGATAGAAAGACAGTTTGACCCCAAAATCAGAGCCATCTCTACCCCTTACTCAAAACCAGCCAATCCCTGAGCAGGGAAAATGGACCAATCATTGATCCCCTAGAGCCTTGGAATTCCCCCTCAGGCCTGGAAATCCCTTTGCATCACAGGGTGCAGCCAATCCAAAGCCTGGAAATCTGGAATTCCCCTCAGTCCACTCAGGGGCAGCCAATCACAAGTCCAGTGGCTTGGAATTCTCCAAACCTCTTCCCCTATTTTAACCCCCTCTTTTTGCCTCTTGGGGTCTCTGCTGTTCTGTTCCTGTTGCTGCTGTCATTGTTTCAGACAGACAGAGGGACTGAAGTTAACTCATAATAAAGACTCTCTGCTTTTGCTTCGAATCTGATCTCATGGTGATGTTTGGGGGATCCTGACTTTGGGCATAACACTATATCAATCTAATTAGAAACTTCCTCATAGACATGCCCCCAGTTTTGTCTCCTAGATCCTAGATTCTGAGAGGTTGATAATGTTGACTATCATGAGTCATATACCCTAGGGGCTGCTGCAGGGTTCACCCCATCAGTGTTGCAAGGACTGAGAAGAAGGGAAGCTCTGTCACAGCTGCAGGAGGAATGGGGAGCAGACTGGAGTTGGGTGAAAACAACAAGTTATGATCACCTGTGGTCTTGACATGTGACTCTAAAGAGAGTCATTCACAGAACATTCAGGCAGAGGTATGGTCATAGTTCCTAAGAGGCCTGACTGCCACTTCTGATGTGGGACCACAGGGTTCTAGGACACCAAGCAACAGAGTCTTCTTTGGGTGCAGGTTCCTTCTGTCTCCCAGTGCTTATTGCTTACTCTGGCAGGGAGGGGCAGGAAAGGACAGGAAGGGACCTAGTGAATCTGGTCAGTTTCAGGGGCTTCCTGAAGCTCATTTGAGTTGTCTACCTTCCTGCTTAAGGAGCTTCCTTGTAGTGTGAAATGTTTCAAACTGAGAGGAAATCATTACACAATAAACTGAGCTGCAGATCCAAGTCAAGTTCTTTGGTTTGCAATGGAGGCTGCAAACCCCTCTCTTGCTGCAAACCAGAAATTCCTAAGGACTTTTTCTGGGTCAATACATCACTGCTGTTGCCTAGACATCCCTGAAGGTCCTTCTTTGGTCTCTCTCCCTTCATGGCTCTCCGCTGCCTTGCCTTATGTGTCAGCTGGGAGTAGACGTGGCCTAACATCTTTTCAGCTCTGAGTCTCTAGATCCTAGGGGCTCATACTAAGCCTAATTTTGCAGCAGCACTGATCAGAAGAAGCAATGCCTAACATGAAAAAAAAATTGCCAGAGGAAGGAATTGAGATAGTGCAAACAGGATAAGAAGGGTTCCTTGGCTCAAGCAAAGGATGGCTTGTTGCAAGTGTCCTCCAGTTGTGGAGAGGTGGATGCTATCTGCCATCATCTTGTCCTCCTGGACCCAATTTGTAGATGGGGATGGGGCAGAGGTAAGCTTGTGGCAGCTGGTACCAGCAACCATGAGTTCTTATGATATGCCATTTGTTGAGTGCCTACTGTGTGCTTTAAACCTGTCTCTTCACGCTGGGTGTGGTGGTGCACGCCTTTAATCCCAGAATTCAGGAGGCAGAGGCAGGCAAATCTTTGTGATTTCCAGGTTAGCCTGGTCTAGAGTGAGTTCCAGGACAGTCAACGTTGTTACACAGAGAAACTCTGTTTCAGTAAAACCACACACACACACACACACACACACACACACACACACATACACACACACACATTCATCTCTTTATTAAAGACCTCCCGAAAAGCTAGATTCTTATTTAGTTTTTCTTTGGAACATGATCTCAAATAGCCCTTGCTGCCCTCAAACTCACCATGTAGCCAAGAATGATCTTGAACTTGCCATCCTCCAGCCTGTACCTCCCAAGTGCCAGGATGACAGACATGTACCACTAGACCTGGTTTATTTAAAACCCAATATCAGAAAAGGGCACTTTTTGTTGTTTGTTTGTTTTGTCTTGTTTTTGTTTTTTGACTTACGGGGTCTCTCAGAGCCTTGAGTTTGGACATTGCTGGGCTCAGCACAGGCTACCATGACACCCTGAGCCTTGAAACTCCAATCTCAACAATGCTGCAGCCCCAAAGGTCTTCAGTTTTGCTGGATTGGCTCAGTGACGTGAACACCCAGTTCCAGCCTTCTTTCAGACTGACCCGGCAGGGCTTGGAGAAGCCTCAAGCCACTTCAGAGAGAATCCCATCTGAGAAACTCTCCAGCGCCCCTTAGTGGTCTTTAATACCACTGTCTTCCAGGCATTTGTTCTGGGTGGAGACATCCCATGACAGGGCTGGGGGCACAGAGGCCTGCTTGCTAATGAGACACATCAAGGAAATGCTGACACAGGGCCTTCTTTGCCACCAGCCCTGTCTGCTGCAATGCTTCCTAGAACTCTAGTTCTCCGTGGTGGCTGACGATCTTAGCAGCCAGGCTTACATTAATTAATGTGAGTACTGTATTACAAGCTCCCATCCGTCCGTAGATGTGCGCTACACACGAATGTATGCATTATATATTAAGTTCCCTCCCACTAGTAAATATGCAAAATGTAAAGTTTGCCCTGTCACTGGGGAAGGGCACCCACCCCAACACCCCTGTCACCTCCATTTCCACTTCCCAGTTTAAGGAACAGCCTTTCCCTCTCCTGCCTGATGCTCTGGAAAGCTCAACCCCACCACTTCATTTGCATGAATGTCTAGAAGCACAAGGAAATGAGAACACTAGTAACAGAAGTCACGTATGGGAAGGGGGTGAGAAAAGAGAAAAATTCCAAACGCAGAATGCCCAAAGGTCACTTTGAACTCTTCTATAGAAAAGGGAGTTGCGCAGGCCAGATGGGGTTAGCTCTAAGGGGGATGGGGGAAGATGGGGTGTGGGTGTGTGGTAATTGCTCGCCTTTGATGACTCGGAGGTCTAGGTAACTGGTAGGCTAATGGTAGCCTATGGGTCTCAGATCAGCATAGGTAAGAAAGGGAGACACATTGCCCGTCAGATATCTTAGAATAAACCTGGGTCGGTGGATGCGATCCCTGATAAATATTTGTTCTGTGGCTCTTTTAGGTCTCAGTCCTGAAAGAGAAAAGGGCGGCAATACCGCTGCCCAGAGCGCTGATTTTTTTTTCACTCCGGAGTGAATCTGTGGCTGGTGTCACGGTCTCCCCATTACACCTGCAAAAAGAGGGTCTTGGGTGGGGATGGATGAGGGACTGAGTATCTGATGCAGTCCCGGCAAATCTCCCAGCTCAAAAGATGCAGAACCCTGCTGGCGCCTTGCCACTGACTCAACAGGTTGCTGGGAGGATCCCCGAGACTTTGGGAAAACGGGGTGCTGCGATGCGGGTCCCTATGATTTTGAGGAAGATGCCCCGGGTCTTGAGTGTGAATCTAGGGTAAGGAAGAGGAGCACAACCCCCGCTCCACTCCACACCCCCTCCCTGCCTATAAATAACCCCAAGTGTCACTTCAAAGGGCACCGGGAGCTCAGGACAGGGGCTACCGGGGTCGGCCGGCCCCACACACCACGCCCCCCACCCCGGGCGACTTTGCATAAATAAACAAACCCCAGCCGCGGCCCCGCAGGAGGCGGAGGAGGAGCGGGAGGAGGCGAGGGAGGGGCGCGGGAGATTAGTTTGGGAAGTAGCGCCCCGCGCTCATCCGATCCGCGCGGCCGCGCCGGCTGTGTCAAGTTACAGAGGCGCCGGAATCGGCCCTAGCACGGCTCACTGCGGCCACGACCCACCACTGCCCATGGGGCCCTGCATGCGCGCCCCTTCGCCTGGGGACTGACACCCTTTCGCCCCGGAGACGCAAGACACCTCGTAGGACCCCGAGCGTCGCACCAGCCCGAGGACTCTGCAGAGGCGAGAAGGGAAAGAGCGGGGGGAGTGGGGCCAGAGCCCCCCAACTTGGAGCATTCTTCGAAATAACTTTTTTCCTACTTCAGCGTACCCTGATTGCGCCTGCTGGTGCTCTCGCCTGTCCCCCCACTCCGACGGCTCATTTTCTGTCCTCTTTGAAGAGTAAAGGAAAGGACGTCCTCCAGCCACGCTAACCCTCTTTCCCCCTGCTTTGCAGTTTGGATTGCGCTTCTTGGATCTCACTTTTATTTATTCTATTTATTTATTTATTGGTTCTTAAGACGCGAGGGGATGGTGGCGGAGCGCGCCCGTAAAGCGGCAGCCACAGGCACTCGCGGCCCTGGGGAACTGGGCACGTCTGGGCCCGGGACGGTGGCGCTGGCGGAGCTGTGCGCGAGGCTGCCGAGCCCCGGGTGCTGCGGACTGCTGGCGCTGGCGCTGTGCTCGCTGGCGCTCAGCCTGCTCGCCCACTTTCGGACCGCCGAGCTGCAGGCCCGGGTGCTGCGCCTGGAAGCGGAGCGCGGGGAGCAGCAAATGGAGAAAGCTATTTTGGGACGAGTCAACCAACTGCTGGACGAGGTTTGTGCCCTTTGTTGCTGGCTTTTATCCCCTCCCCGCGGTGCCCCCTCGCACAGTCCCGAGACTCCACAAGCTGGTGCGGGCCGGCGCTCGCTTGCATGGTCGCCCAGATTGTCTGCACTAGGACTGAGGGAAGGGACCGCCACTGTGTTGCCAGAGATCCAGAGCACCAGGCCGGCATGTGCGGGACCTCTCAGGTCCGGAAGACCCCAGGGTCTTTCTCTGGGGACGCCCTGAGCGCGCGACAGTCAGGTGGAGAAAGGCAGGGCGCGCAAAAGGTGCGCAGAGGTAGCCTGGGCTGGTGGGAAATAGGCTGGGGAGGCTTGCTGGGCTCTGGTGGTCTCTCCACTCCACGAGGGTGGGTGCTGCCTGATATTTACGGTCGCATTTGGAAGCAGGGCAAGAGAGTGAGCCATTTAAGGACCTACAGGACAGCCTCTTAAGCAGGTTGCTCATTGCTGGCCCCTGTTTGCTACTCCAGGCCTCTAGGGCCCAAGTATTAGCTGCCTGGACCCATTCTTCTTGGGGGTCCCGTTAACCTTTGATTCTTCCCGCAGTGGCCGCTGAAGTGGTCCTAATTTTTTCCCCACAACTGGGAAAAGGATGCCTCCCCCCACCTCTCTCTCCACACACACACACACACACACACACACACACACACACACACACACACAGTGTTCCATCCCAGGTAGACTAAAAGTTGCTAATATGTCTCTTTGCTGGAGCAATCCTGAGAGTGAGCTGCGGGGCGGTGGCATCCTCCCTAGGGAGGCGGGAAATGCAGACTCTAATGGGGGCGGGGTGGGGGTGGGAGTGATCAGGAGGGAAAGCTGAGCGTCTCAAGATGGAGAGGGCTGGTGGCCTAAGAGAATCTGAACGGGTCCTGGTGAAGGCCCGGCCTGGAACGGTTCCCTGGGCGGGGGCGCGGATGTCTCTGACACAGTGGAAGGAGTGTGGGATAGTAACCATCAGGGTGCTAAAAGCCTGTAGCTCTGGGTTTTTGTACCCATGCTGAGATTTATTTGGATGCTGTGCAACCTGGGACAAATACTGTAACCTCTCTGAGCTTACAGAAAGATGGCAAACTTTAGCCAGGTCTAACAGGTTCGGGTCTCCTGTAGTTGGGTTTCTCTGGGGTGCCTCTTTTAAAATTTCCTAGGTGGTCCCCATGGGGAAAGTCGCAGGCCACAGTATAGAGGGTGACCCCGGGACAGTCTCTGCCGTGTGAGGCGTGCCCCACGCCTGCTGCTACAGCTCATTGCCATGACTGGCCAGAACTAAGAAGGCTCAGTCAGGTCGCCCACAGTCCCTTGGGCCTGGCGGCAGTCGGCAGTCCCTGGGCTCTTGCTGTCTGGCTGAGTGGGGAGGGCATTGGCTGGATTGTGGAGAGGGTTGCAAACCTTCCCATGTGCATCCAGCCCTTGCCAAGCCCTCCCTGTGCCAGGTCTCCAGTGCCCAGGACCTGCCCAGATCACTGCTATCTTTCATGGAGTCTCCTGCTCCCAGCGATAGCTCACATTCACTCCACTGACTCCAAGATGTCAGCCCCTAGAACTGAGAAACTCCCCAAAGATGATCAGAAGTGACTCCATTTTACAGAGGGGAAAACTGAGGTCTGGCGAAGGGCCATAGGTAGCTCAGGGCCATATGGCGACATCCAGTAGTAGATAGAACTAAGCCTCCCTACCCTGCACCCATTTCTCGTGCTCTGGGTCCTGCCACTGCTGAAAGCTAGCTGCGGGCGTGGGGTGGGGGGAACTGCCCTGGGAACACTTCAACCTTGAACTTGAGTGGGACGCAGAAAGAAAACGAGTAGGCACGGTACCAGGTGGAAAACGGTACCGCAGGGGAGGGAGAGTGGCCAGAAAACGTGTTGCACACGACATCATGATGATGGTGGTAACCAAAGTGGCTTCCAGAGGAAGTGATCTTTTCAGGCAACACTGGAAGAGCGAATAGGGGTTCACCTGACACAAGGGGCTAAGCATGAGGCTTTGTGCTAACACACACACACACACACACACACACACACACACACACACACACACCAGGGAACAGCATTGGGGGGGGCAGAGGTGGGTGGGGCCCCTTTGGGGGCTGTGAATGAAGACCCGAACCTTGGGGATTAGGGAGAATGGCATGGTTGAAGGGAAGGCTGGGTGAGATGAACAATTCAGGGCAAGAAAGGCCTTTGGGATTTCTAGATGGGTAAAGGGGAAATGGGGAACTAACCGAAGGGTTGAATGGATAGTACTTAGGTCCCTCCAATGGGAAGGCTGACAGGAGGCTGCTGGAGACCATGACCTGGCCTGGTGTTGGGGACAGGACGGAGAGGACATAGTGGCTACGCTTGGAGACAGTGGTCAGGGGGCATTGGAGGAAGCTATTCTGTCATGGGACCTGGCAAATATGAGGTCTGCAGTCTGGGGGCTGCTGGAGGGACACGCAAAAGGCCACATGGTCTCATACAGTAATCCCTAGCATATGTGACTTATGCTATTGGAATTTAATAAAAATTGAACTGGAGTTCCTCAAGCACTCTGGTCTCGTGGACAGGGCTTGGCAGACACAGGAGCTGGTGACTGGCTGGGCAGGCGGCAGATATGGTGACAGTCTCCAAAGACGTCGTATGGGGAAGCGCCAAGCAGGCTGTGTCAGCCCTGACTCGTGCTGCTGTGACAAAAATAACCGGCCGGAAACAGCCGCAGGGAGGAAGGGCTTAGGTTGGCTCATGGTTTTGGAGGTTTCAGTCCCTCTGGTGGGAGGGGGCAGAACAGGTCTTTCCATGTGTCCCTCCAATTCCCCGCAGACCTCCAGTTACAGATCTCAGGCTCTTCTGCCCCTACTCAATCCTCTCTGGAATCAGCCCTCACAGACACACCCAGGGCGTGCTTCCTACTTCTCCTGAACATTGCTTGATTCAGTCAAGTTGATAAGATTAACCATGACAATGGGCAACTGCGGGGGGAGGGGAGCGCGGCAGAAGTGTCCCCAGGGGAAGTTTCCCAAGTATAGGCAAAGAAGCAGAGAGGAAAGGGTCAGCACTGGCAGGATGGCTCAATGGTAAGAGCATCTGCTGAGTAAGCCTGAGCATTTGCTGAGTCATTCAATCCCAGAGTTATGGGTCTGGCTCAGGAGTACATACTCGCATGCTCTCTCTCTCTCTCTCTCTCTCTCTCTCTCTCTCTCTCTCTCTCTCACACACACACACACACAAAATGATGCTAAATATATTTTAATTAAAAAAAAATAAGGGATGGGTGAGGCACAACCTGGGTGAGAGGGCGGGTTTATACTTTTGTTTCAGGACAGTTTTGTGAAAAGAGGCTATGAAGTGAGCCCCTGCCCTCATGGTGACACAGGGAGCTAGAGGGTTTAGGGACTAAGTTCCCCCTGCTTGCTGTGTAACTGTAATGAGCCCCACCACCCCCTGCAGTCAGGTTTCTTCTGGCCAGATCCGGGCTCCAACACCATCTAGGTACTGCTGTGAGACCCTCAGGAGGTGGCAGACAGCAAAATGCATGAAGGCGTGGCCTCACCAGCAGGGGGTGATGAGGAGGAGGGAAGGCTCCCAGGTCCCGGGGTGGCAATTCCTGGGACAGGTGAGCCTGGGCCCCTCCTCGAAGCAGGAATGAGGGACTTCAGAAGGGGCCCATGCAATGATCTGCTGGTTCCCCGAAATCCAGGGAGACACCAAGCGGAGTGTGAGGAGGACAGAGACCAAGTCTGTAGGACTAAGAAAGAGGGAGCCAGGAGGGCAGGCCAAGCAGAGGGACCCAGTTGGGGAGGACACTTGAGAGGAAGGGAGCCAGGGCAGATCGGAGGGGCCCAGTCACTGGGGACTGAGAATGTGGTTTGACTCAGCGCCTCTCTATGGTCTGGGACCCTTAATGAGCACTCCAGCTGCCTGACAGTTGACTTCCTTGCTGTGAAGGAAGAAGCTGGAATGTCCCAAATGGAGAAAATCAGATGACACCTAGGCTAGGCCCGGGCAGGAGGTGGGGGAGAGGGAGAGAAGCGGGTGGGGGAGGGGGCAGGATTGAATTTGAAAACAACCAAATTCATTTTGGCGGCCCAGGACTAGAGTGAGGGGACCTTCAGCCCTGTGGACTAGGGAGGCCAGGCAGACTCCCACCCCAGCTAGAGTGCCATTCCCAGAACCCTTGCTGTCATTGTCCCCTGGAGCGGTTTGTAGGGTGCACCTAGGCCATACATATAATCAGGATGCCACCTTCCATCCTCCCTATTCCCCACTGGCTGCCACTGTCTCACCCCACTTTACAGATAAGGGGACCAAGGTCGCTGAACCTCCCTCCTCCTCTCTGTGACTCATTTCTTCCACCTTGGGGAATCCCTGGGAAAGGAAGTTATAGAAACTTCCAGGCCAAGATGTTGACGAAGTGCAGGCAGACCCCCCACACCCCTAAAAGACCAGTTTATGAGAACGTCTCACGTCTATAGGGTCTGTGTACAGGGACCTTTTATTGGGCTGTTGAGAGGAGAGATCAAAGTAGAGGCAAAGAGACTGAGACCCTGGGCTGTGGACCCAAGGGGATCCCGAAAGGAGCAGGCTGTATAATAGGGCAGTTTGCCTGTGCAGCAGCGTCCTGGGCACACGACAGCTGCCTAAGCCTCAGAAAGCAGACAGACCCTAGGTCCAGGCACCCTCAAACAATGCCTAGCATGCAACTGGGTCCATCCCACATCGCTGCCTCCTTTTGTGCAGGGAGTGATGTACAGGTTTCTTGCTCTGCCATGGGAAGACAGGAGAATCCAAAGATTCTCCCTCCACTAGCATCAAAGAACCAGAACACCATCCTGCTGGAGAGATGTAGAAGGCATGTCCCCTCCGTGGCATCCTTTCTAGTTTCTAGTTAACTACAGGCTCCTTGGTGGTCAGTACATGACCCATGTGTGCCTAGCTCCCATTCCAGGGCCCTCCGCAGACATGGCCCATTGATTACAGGATGGCGCTTTGCCATCAAGTTTAACATGGCCTT